GTAAAATGATTGGCTAGAATCCAAAGTGTATGACATCTCAAGAAAAAACCGAAATGTGCGCTGCTTTTTGGTCTGGTTACTACCGTTTATGTCCGAACCAGTGCCATTATGGCACCGGATACAGTACCCATCCCTACTGATATCCACTTACGAGGACATTATACTACCACTGTTCTATCGAAATTTAAATTGAATGTACTCATATGTGGATGTCAGGCCCTTGTAGAGCAAAATAAGGTAAAAAGATCATTCTTTGTTTTTCCATTCATCGGGTCCCAATCAGCCCAAATAGAAAAGATAAATTAAAAATGCATGCCGTGAAAGAGTTCGGGTCTTAGGAGGTTAAAGAAACCAGAAGGCTCTTAGAACTTAGAAACTGTTAAAAGTAATAGGATTTGGTTACAAGCATTTACATGTAATATATTTCATGCTTCATTAAAGAGTTATTCACAAGCTGGCACCACATACTCTGAAGGATATGAAAGCATTTGTAGACGATAATGGCAGATTGTGTAAGGATGAACTGAGGCTGCGGTTTGGTGAAGGCCTGTGAGGGGACTGGCAGCAGCTCCCGAGGAGACAGATCTCCATGTGCTAATGACAGAGAAGCAGAAGGAAAGTGTCTGAGCTGTGGTCCCTCTCCTTAGTTTCAGATAATTACCTCCCATTATGCCTGATGAAAACAGTTTTTAGGCTTGTGTCAGCAAGCTTCAGGTAAGGCTCTGAGTAATTCACTAAAAATGTCTAAAATTTGTTGTTATCCACTGAAGCTTGTGCAGCAGGTGTCGTGTGTGTTTGGAGATTGTACCTGTGAGCATTTGATTACATAAACCTTCTCTCCTGCTCCAGCTCCAGTGCAATTATTATTTTAATAAGAGTGTTCAGTCCGTTTACCATCACTGTGTTGAATAATCGTATTAATGCTCAGTCTCCTCCATCTGTGACCCAACAAATCTCAGAACTCTTTGTTTAATAAATGTAATAAATCCTTTTATTGTGTCTCTCTAGACCCCAGAGGAATATAGTCTGATGTGGATTCTTACTGATGTGGTGTCAGCCTTCCTCATCACTGCAATTTTCATATTCCACTGGTAGGAACACACACACACACACACACACACACACACACACACACACACACACACACACAC